CTGTCAAGGACGAAGTCCCCAAGATCCGTAAGACATGAGCGTGTTGTTTTGTACTTTCTCCCAGATTTCTGTCCAAAGTTCAACTTTCTGAACATAGGATTGTGTGTGGTTTTTTTTTTTTTTTTTTTTTTTTGGTAGGCTAACTTTGTAAGTCTTTATTCAAAATAACAAAACTTTCAGAAAATATTTTTTACCATTTAAAAGAATTATAAAAGTGGCAAATGCCTTTTGTGGAAAAAGCAATGTAGACGTTTTTGTACAAAAATAAAGAAATAAATAAAAGTCCCTTATCCCTATCCCCAATCTTGGTGAAAACAGACAATTTGCTCTTATATATAGACAAAGTTATTTTGAGATGACGTAGACACAGTTCTCTACAGACATGACGTCTGTGTCTGTGAGCGTGTCTAAGAATGTGTGCGTAGGGCTGGGATGTGGCTCAAGTGGTAGAGCGCTCGCCTAGCACACGTGGGGCAATGGGTTTGATCCTCAGCACCACATAAATAAAGATATTGTGCTCCCCTAAAACTAAAAAATAAATACTTAAAAAAAAAAGAATGCGTATTAGACAGAGGGGGAGAACTTGAAGGATCATGTACATATGTATGCACGTGTATGATTTTTTTTTTTAAAGCTGGACCCTGATCATATCTCTTTTCCTACAATTTGGGTGTTTATTATCTCCAGACGGGTAGACCATAAACTGGTAGTAATGCTTGTCTGATCGCCTCTGGGAGTGGAACTCGATTCCTGGGAAATAAGAGCAAGAAGATTTACTTTTCATTTTGTGCTGTTTTATGTGTTTTGAATATTTTAAACAAACTCTTGAAATTAAAGAAGAGAAGAGAAATACAGTTAGTGCTGTCAGGGCTGTCACTGTGGGAGCTGGTCCTGCAGGGAATGGCAGTGTGGAATGTGGAGCGCCCTGGGACACAGCCGTCAGGAGGGGCTGGCGAGCAGGCAGCTCTGCCTGGAGCACCRGAGAGGCCACCAAGGGCCCCGGGGCGGTTCCCGCAGGAGAAGGAAGTGGCAGGGTGCAGGTGGAGTGAGGCCAGGGTCAGCCAGAATGCGCATCCCTGCTCTGAGACTCCATGGAACCTCCATGCCCTCTTGCAAGCTGGGAGCTCCACCCAGGGAGGCTGCATTTGGACTTCCGGCCCCAAGAACGTCGGAGAATAAATTTGCTTTGTCTTAAGCCACCAGGTCCGTGGTGATTTGTTACAGTGGCCACAGGAAGCTAATACAGAGAGTGAAGTCATGCTGCCCACGCAGAGGCAGTAAGGAGTTAGCAGGGGCTTCACGCTGAGGAGCGAGGCCATTAAATCGCATTTTAAAAAGGGAACAGATGGCGAATTGTTGAATGGAGTAGAGTGGCAGGAAGGGAAGCCACGGAGATACATGAAGGAGCGACTTCAAATGTTCTTTATTGACACATAGTCACTGTACATATCTATAAGGAATCATAGGGTACTTTGATTCATGTATACGTTAGGTAATAATCAAATCAGGGTCATCAGCATCTCTGGCACCTTAAATCTTTCTCRTTTCTTCATGAGAAGTGCATTCTTGCAGCTATTTTGGGACACGCTGTGCATCCTTGGTAACCGCCTTGGCCCCACGGTGCCATCGCACACCAGCCTCCCTCACACCTAACGGAAACACCGTGCCGTGGACCCATCTCTCCCTCACCCCTTGCCCCCGGCTCCCCAATCTGAATCCCTTCCATGCGCATTGGGGGTGTGCACTCACGCAGCTGAAGAAATGAGGGAAGACTGTGGAGGAGACATCGGTGGCAGAAAGGACAGGCCTTGTCACAGCTGAGTGTGACACGGAGGAGTCCTCTCTCTACCTCTGACCCATCGGAGGAGTTCAGGAGTCTTCTAGCRGACATAACCACCATTGAGGGGCCTGCGGAATACCCAGGTAGAAGAGGAAGTTCTGACGCTCGGGAAAAGGGGGAATACAGGTGGGTGTCGGGGCAGATGCAGGTGGACTCCCCGAGCAACAGCAAAGAAGAAAGGACCAAATCCCCYGCCACCCTTCCCACACGTGCGGTCAGCTTCTCTAGAGAAATAAGGGCAAGAAGGAGTGAGAAAAAGCCAAAGGCTTATGGAGAGCATCTGAGCAGACCCACACTGGGGTGCCCAGGGAAGAGGACTGACTCTTCAGCTGAGACGATGGGACGGTCCTGTGGAGCATGGAAAGCAACAGCTGGAAGAGAGGAGAGGAGTCGAGGGCGTAGGAAGAGGTGCAAGGGAAGAGGTGCCCAGTAAGCCCAGGGGACTCAGCCCAGCAGAGGGACCCTTCCCACTGTGGGTACCATCACCAGCATCATCATGAGAACCACAGAAACAAGGAAAGACAACCTTGGCTACGTCGGCTCCGCTTTAGGCTCGGGGAGTTCACAGCTGGACGAGACTCGGGGGTCTACACTTGAGAATTTCAAGATTTTGTAGAAAAAAGGTGCTACTGTTTGGAAATGTCCCCAACAGCCCATCTGCCTGCTTCCCAGCCCCTGGTGCTTCTGGGAGGTGGGGGAGCTTCAGGAGGTGACCTGGGGGCAGTTTTCCAGACTTGGGGTACRCCTATGGAGGGATCCCAGGACCCTAGCCCCTTCCTGGCTCTCTCTCTGCTTCCCAGCCACCATGAGATGAGCAGCTTTGCTTGACCACATGCTTCCTGCCTGGATGTGCTACCTCTCCACGGTTCAAGGCCACAGGTCCAGCCTACTGTGGAATGAAAGCTCCGAAACATGAGCAAAGCAAAGCTTCCCTCTTTTTAAGTTGATTATTTTGGCATTTTGTTACAGTAACAGGAAACTGACTAACACAGAGGAGGACACTGTTCCCAAATTTATAACCTGAGAATGATTTTCACATAAAGGGGCATTAATAAGGCCAGATAAACTAACAGAGCGGAGGGACACAGAGAACAGGACATGCTCTGGATGATTAATTGGACTAAGTCAAACCACTTGGCCAATTCTAAATTTCCAACCTCTAAGTCCTGTGCTCTTTTCACTTCATTTTACCACATGAAACCTATTTTCCTATTCAGTCTATAAGCAATTTGGGGTAACTGGTCACAGGTACAGAGGCAAAGACTGGAGAAAGCCATTTCACAGAAGGATTTTAAGGTGAGAGCTGGTGTGAACACATCATCAAAGGGCAAGTCAGGGCAGGGACCATGCCATCAGTGCCCTGGTCAGCCCAGGGCAGAGTCCCGTTCTGTGCTAATCCTCTCTGAGTGCAGAACAGTGGAAGAACTTCTTCCTTTGCCTTAAGAACTCATCATTCTTAATGAGGAGGCTGCCTCATGCAGGGGTTTGGAAGAAAGGGAAATGAGTGCCTAGAGAGGAGAAAAATATTTAAAAGTTAGAAACAGGCCAAACGACAAGACAGACAAATCCTGTAATGTCCAGGTAAGGCTCAGAGCGGAGGCTGACGTGGAGATGGGTACCATCCCGCAGGCAGGCATCACCAGTCGGGCATGATTAAGGAGACATGCGACATGTGGGAATACCTTTTAAGATGAATAAGAAGCACAGAGGAATGAGAATCACATTTCAGACAACTCAAGTCCACAGGTGGACGGTGTGGCCACAGTCCAGTGGCTGAGTGGTGAGAGAGGCTTCAGATGGAGGGATGTACACATAATGCCAAGCAGCGGGCAGCCTGAGCTCGGGCTCAGGGTTCAGCCCCAAGGATGCTGGCATGCTCCAGAGAGAAGCAGCAGCTCTGGGTAAGGTCAGCCTCTCCTGTCCAGAAACCCCAGGCCCTGACCGTCCCTGGACCATGGCAAAGAGGATTGGAGGGGTTTCAGCCTTTTGCTTCCGTCCCCAGGCTCTGGCATGGAGACATCAGGACCCTTTGCCAGCTGGAACGGGGCTGATGGACATTTGCTTACATCGCACCGCTCTCTCAGCGAATTGGAACCTGAACAATGTGAAGATCCTGAAGTTTGAAGAGACACCAGAAGCCTGTGGTTGTACCACTGAGTTTAGAGGAACCAGGGCTTGTGGGGAAATGCCTGAGCAACTATAGCCCAGGAACAAACCTCTTGTGTCTAGGAGGAAGGGTCGAGCCAGAGGGAGGTGGTCATGCCTGTGCCAGCCCTTGAGGAGGCAAGCCAACAACACGGATGGCACTCACGGAACCAGGAGCACCCCAGCCGTCGGAGCTCATTTGCCCCCTGTCTCTGAGGAAGCCTGGCGCCTGAGCCGGCAGGCAATCCATTTCTTAAATTTCCTTGGCTAACTACCACATGCCCTTTTGCAAGTTGCGCGTCTCTAACTTGGCACCATGGGAAGACCAGGTGGATCCGCCCAGGGGGAAGCCTATGAATGGCAGATCTGAAGCAGTCCTGGGCGATCAGACCCCAGCTGCCTGGCCAGTGCGTGGGCCAGAAGATGYGTTCAAAAGGCTCCAGACATTCCAATTCTTGAAGTGACTCAGACTGAATGTTAACTCTTAAGAGAGAGGACAAGGTCGGTTGTGACTTTGTCAGTCAGAGCCATGTAACCACTAAGCCAACGGAGAATTCCTCATAACATGAGTCAACAGGACGCATGAGCCCAAACACRGGACAGGCGGGGTTCAGGAGGGGCTGCTCTAACTGTCCAGCAGTGTGGGGGGTTCTTGGAAGCAGGAGGCGGCGGGGGGGGGGGACAGAAACATTCTCCTCCTCTCTCCTCTTCCATGACACAGTCATTCACAGATGGTGAACGGATGGTGGCTGTGAAATCCCTCAGTGGAGTCCCTCCGTGGTAACACAGTGACCATACGCTGCGACATGGTCCTGCATCTACARTTCYTCCAAACACTCTCATCTGGAGATTSGGTTTTAGCAATCAAACYTTCAAAATTCCGAGGGTGGGAAGAGAACACTGAGGGAAATCTGGGTTCCTGCTCCCTCTGCAGACGCCTTGAGGGCGGTGTGGGGACGGCGCCCAGGCCACCAGCGCCTACAGGGGTGTAGCTGCTACAGCGCACGCCACTCACCTTTACTGATGTCTTCGTACTCCAGCCAGAGTCGCCGCTGGACTTGCTTATTTGGGTACCAGATGGAACAGGACTCCTCAAAGCCATAGATAGCTTCCTGGATGTAATGGTTGCCAAACTGGCCCAACAAGGCCACAAAGTCCGCACGAGACGTGGCCCCATCCAGGGAATGAAGGGCATTGTTGAAGGCTGCGGAGGAACATGGCCCGAGAGAGAGTGAGGACCCACATGTGGCCTCTGGACCCCCCAGGCACCTCAGCCCGATTKCGGCCCAGAGTGATGTGGAGAGCTGGCTGGGACCACCAGCGGGTATTTCCATGGGACCAATCRGACCCTTCAGCTCCTGGGCAGACACCTATTCAAACCCGCTGGTTGGTGCAGGTTAAGCAGAACATGGCCAACTTCCACTCCCCATATCCCTTAAGTAAATGTGTCTCCCCCACACACTCTGCAGGTCAGGACATTAAATCAATGTAATCTGTTCAAATAACGGCTTTGTAAGAAGGAGAAAAAAAAGCAAAGTCTAGAACGGAAACAAACACTAGCAGAGAACATTTCCCCTCATAAGATGAAGCACTGTTTCTTGGAATGTGTGAGGGAGGGTGTGTGTGTGCATCTGGTCACAACCTAAAACATCTCCAGACTGTTGCTAGTGACCAAAAAGGTGTGCAAAACGTTGCCTTTAGACATGGAAATGGGCAACGGGCAGACAATGGAAGGAGAACGTAGGAGCAGTCACTAACACACTGCTTACATTTTATGTCAGAAAATCCAAAGGAAAAGGACCGGGAAATGACCACCGGAAAAAACACCCTCCTTCCTGTCCACCCCAGCCAAAGCTCCTTCTGTTTTCTGCTGTTCCTTAAGAGAATTACACTCATCATAAAAGACAGCCTCCGGTAAAGTTTCCAAATCCAATACCTTCTGAATCCGCACACGTGTTTCATGGGGGCAAGATGGAGTCTAGCTCAGGCAGGAGACCTCAGGTGCCAAGTGCACATCACTTGGGACACCATTATGTGACTTTAAAACACTTATGGCAACAGAAACATCCAGCCCTGGTGTGCGCAGCATCTGTGCCGTGTGCAGACTGAGTATGTGGATGGTATAGTTTTCGCTGTGAGTTTTCCCAGAATGAAGAGGGGCTCAGTTCCTCCCAGATGTTCTGCACCTGTGGAGCATCCTTCATCACCGTCCTCACCCTGATCCCTTCTCTCCAAGAATACTTGCACATTCAAAAGAAAAAAATTCTGAGTTCTCTTGTGCCCTGTGGAAGGGTTCTAGATCCTTAATGTGTGATGCTTCTCRTTTAGGAAGTATCACCTTTGAAAGTGCATGTCTCATTGTTCGTCAGGATCTTCCATTTGTCCTGTACCATTCATCTTCCTCCTGATGGCCCTGAGGCTCCATCTACCTCCCGCCTGCTGCCTGCCGACCCTGAGATCCTAAATAAGTTTAGAACTCGCTGTCCTTAACTTACTGGGTGTAATTCACATCACCTCCATACATAAGGAAAACTGCGTYCCACACATGATGTTTACTGCAGAGGGTCGTATTTCTCGATTGCTCTCCATCTCTCTATCCCACTCACTCGCTCTTTAGGAAACTTAAGCCCTTCCCACCCTGTTTTCCTCATGTCATTACATGGAATTTTAAATTATACTTTTGCATTTGGAATGTTGTATTTCTCAGTTTGTGAAAAKCATGCAGTTTTGAAATACCCTCTGCAGGTGCTGAGGGACCCAGAGAACAGGATAATTGTCACTGGTCCCAGCCTGTCCACTCTGTCTCTTCTCCAGTCCAGGATGGAAAGTGCCATTGGATCTGACTTGGCCCAGGCCCTCACTCCAGGCATTTGTCCTCAAGAGTGCACGTGGCGGGACAGGGGACTGAAGGTTGTGCCCTGGAAGGCCGGTTAAGCCCTGGGTTGGGGGTGGGGGGGGGGGGCTGGCTGTGGGGCTTACCCTGAGAGACGGCCGCTTGGTTGAGTTTGATGTGGTACATCACCGACCGGACCTTCCAGTGCTGCAGCACGGGGTACCCAGACACTTCACTGAAGTTCACCATCCCTGGGGACAGAGGAGACAGGGCTCAGTGCCTGAGATGGGCTCACAAGTCCCTAGTGGGGAAACGTGACCCAACTCCATTAGGTTCAGGATTGTAATTGTGAGAAGATGAGCAAGTGCTCTTTGATGAAGAGAATTTCTAGAGTCGCAGTGACAACAGCTATCATTTATGGAACTTTTACTCTGTGCCAGGCATCTTGCTAAGCACTTTGCATATATTAAGCTGGTTGATGTGACTTGGGAATCATTGTGACTTGGGTGTTATTATTATTTCCTTTTTATAAATGATGATACTGAAGTTGTTTATATAAGGTCCCTAAAACACAAGGTAAGCCAGRATGGGGTTCCAGATGGCCTGAGCCCAGAGCCAGGGTCCCTACTTATTCTAGCACAACACCCATAATGACTTCATATTAAACTCTAGGCTGACTGCGACACACCAGGGTTTTACTGTCTTTAATAGCAGCAGAAATCGACTCAGCTCACGTATCTGATAACATTGATTTTTCTGTCTCATTTAACTGATTTGTGTTTGGTATTTAAGTTTTAATTACTCTGAGGCTGATAAAGCACATTTTTTTTTCTTTGCCAGAAGGGACAGTATCAGGGTGACTGGATCATTAGGGGGACAGGAAGAGCCAAATACCAAGGGCCATCTCTGTGCCAGGAGATGTTTCAGGCAGTTTCAGTGCCCCTTTTGCTGATGGGGAGGCAGAGGGTCCAAGAGGCTAAGTGAGTTGTTCAAGGTCACTCTCCATAAGCCCTTTCTGCGACCTTGTAGAAATATTATTAATGGGCTGCTCTGCCTTGGGAGCTTTGGAGAAAGAATGTCGCCCTGTTTAAATTCTAACCATTACTATAAATATAATATGCTAGAGAAACGAAATAATTAGGCCACAGGAAATTAAAAAAACACCTAAGTTCAGAGAACCAATTTTAACTTCATGTCTATACCTAAGGTTTGCTATATGTGTAAGTTATAGGAATGTACGTATGCATTTGTGTATGTGTTTACACACAAGCATATACAGTAAGCTTGTACATAGTATATGTAAAACCTATATACTCATTTACATTAAAGCAGATAACACATRGTGCATATGGAGTGTGCGTGTATATAACTACAGTGATAATAATACATGCATAGTTAATTATTCTGCCACTTTGACCCATGCTTCCTTTAAGCAAAATCAACTCATTTAATACCTMAGCTGAATAAAGAGTAGGCAGGATTAATTAGCTGCTTGTCAACCCTGATCAAATTAGATGAGTAATTACCAAATTTCCATTTCTGTCTGAATCATATGGGAATAATTATTGGTAAGAAAAAAAATTTAAAAAAGGTCAGAAAAGGTGCTCAGTGAATCAATGGCTTAAATTTCATATTAGGTAATCAAAGATAAGTTACCTAAAACTAAGAGGAGGTTTTCAGCAGTTACTTTCTTTCTTAATGTTCTTTGAGGGCGKTAAGCTTTGCGATGCCAGTCATGCGACTACACACTTTGGCTTTGAACCTTCGTGTTAACTTCAAAAGCATACAAATGGAATTCTAACTTTACAACTGAAGACTTCAGTCACATCCCTTCCAGGTACGTTTCATTAGGTGTCAGATGTGGATGGCCCTCAGAACCACCTCTCGCCTGTCCGCGTGCGGCTTTGTTGTTCATTTGAAAAGCCTATGTATAAAGAAAACAGCGGGTCCGAAAAATAAAGATTCTCAACTGATTTGGGAAAAGCTCCCTTTAAGGGAATTGCTTCACAGTGGAAAAGCAACAGGAAGGAGCTGGGCGCTGCAGGAGGCGGTGCAGGTGACAGTCATTGTTTAAATGACTGTCCTCCTCACARCCAGAGTCCCTTCTCTCTGCTGCCTCCAAGGGAGTATTTTGGTTCCAGTTGTTGTGTCTGTGGACTGAGAGACTAGCTGAGATGATCCCTTGCTTCTTTTGCAAATCTGTGACGGCCACCTGCTGTGTGACTTTAGGCAACTCGTCTGTCTCAGYTTTCATACCTGAAAAGTGGGGGTGACAGTATGCACCCCATTTGCTTTACAGGTAGGTTGTGACAAAAACGAAATTATGGGTGTCGTGTCACACAACTAAACCGGTCAGGGTCACTCCAAGTGAATTTAGGGACTAAATAAAGACACAGACACAGAAAGGACCTTTTCTCTGGGTTCAGTGACCACTCCTCTGCTGCAGCTCCCACAAGGGGGGCAAGGMGGGCAAGAAAGAGCCAGGAGCACATGCTGAATGAACCCTTTTATTAGGGAGAAGCCATTCAGATGAGGCAAGGGGTCAGGTTTCAGAGGGTTGAGTCTAGCTTCTGATGTCTGCGGTCAGCAAGTTGACTGACACCTGGGTAGGCCACGCCCATCTCTTGTGCTGTGTGGGGATCAGGCAGAGCCAGCAAAAAGACACAGACGTCCCCCTCCCAACAGAGGGGCAGTGTTGGTTCAGTCCACCCTGTGCGCTCAGTGCTCATAGCTTACACACAGCCCACGGCTGGCTCGCCACCTCTCCACACTCTCATCGCTCAAGGCTAAGGGGCGCTCGGTTCCYATGTGACAGCTCCCGACATATGGGCACAAGAATACTTAGAGAAGAGATGAGGCATCCGCACACACGGATGGCCTCCATGTCCTCTTGCTCCCTTCCTTCCTCCTCCTCCCTCTCCTCCCCCTCCCCCACTCCTCCCCTCTGCCATCCTCCATCGGTATACACCTGGCACTTCTTAACTGATGCTTTGGTTATCACTCCCGAGGTGGCAGTCCAGAACAGGGGGAAGAGGAGGAGGAAGGCCAGGCGTGGGCTGGGGATGCCAGCCCTCCACATCCGCCAAGCCTGAGCCCGGCAAGTCAACTCCAGGACTTCGCTGCYGCACTTAGGCTGCACTGGGTCTGGGAGATGCTTACATAACTGCTGGTGCTGGGGAAAGGCTTCTCTCCCTACTTACAGATAACACTTCCATTAGTTAAAAAGAAAGGGGTATTTTAAAGTGTGTGTTTTCTAGCTGAGTCATATTGTTTCTCAGGGTGCCCTTGACTTGCATCAGGTTTAGTGTTTTATTTTATTTTATTATCATTTTGAGACACATTTCTGCTGAATGGCTCTTTTTCTCAAACACAATGTTTTTGCAAGAAAGAACATTATTTGTTTTTTCTCCCTAATGACTCAACAGACCTGTGTGCACTCTTGGAAGGAAGGAAGAAAGGAAGGAAGGAAGGAAAGAAGGAAGGAAGGAAGGAAGGAAGGAAGGAAGGAAGGAAGGAAGGAAGGAAGTAAGTAAGTCAGGCTGTGGAAATAAAGAAGGAGAGAAAACTAGCTTTCTCTTGTTATTCTATTAAAGTATTAGGAGTACATCTGAGCCCAAAGTGCTAAGGCCAAGAATCTTTTTCCCTTGAGTGAACCTGAAGCAGTTCCAATGCGCCTGAGCTCCACATCTTCAAATAGATCCAGTGACCATGGCCCCAAGCAGGCCTGTGGGTGTGGCCTGTGGGTGTGGCCTGTGGGTGTGGTCTGTGGGTGTGGCCTGTGGGTGTGGCCTGTGGGTGGGCAGAGGCCTCCACCTCCTCCCTCAGCCATCTCCACACTCCCTCCTTTTGCTCCATTGAAAGGCTGAATTCACAAATGGACAAAAGCCAGACAGACGGACATGAAAACGAAACCCAGACCCATGATCTGTGGCAATCAGCTCAGGAAACCTCCCCCTTCTCTGTAATAACCCACCCAGGACGCCAATCTGCTGTCCCCAAGGCAGACTTGTGGGAAGCCCCACCACCATTTCTAGCAAGCTGAAAAGAAACCACAACAGTATCTCCTGAAACAACCGACTCAGACCACCAGAGCTTTCACAACCCACAGCTTCTCTACCTCTCGCTCCCACGCCCTCTGTCCAACCACTGACAGCCAAATGTGCACCCCTGATCAGTGTCGGGGACGTCCCCTTCCAGAGAGCTTGCCCACAGCTTCTCACACCAACAGCTTCCAGTCCACCTGAAACCCTCCCCTTCCCACTGTAAGACCCCACACCTCTGCCTGCCCTGGAGTCTCTGCCACAACACCAGCCATGGCACCCATGTCCTTGCCCCAGCCAGCTCAGAATACATAGCGCCACCAGTTCCCATCTGGTGTCCTTCACCTATTTCCACACAAAATGCAACAACGAAGAGGCCCATGAAACTCGGAGTGCTGAAGCATTGTCGATGAAGGAAGGGGAGACACGGGCATCAGTTTTCCAGTATGTTCTTTAACTGATTCTGCCGGATGGAAACAGAGGTTGTCTATGAAAAGAACTCTCTGATCAAGGAGGTCTGGGAATTTCTAGGTTAGATACATGTGAAAGGGATGTTTTTCCTTCAGGAATCTCTTTCTAATGCTAAGGTGATTCAAGTTGCTAAGAGGAAGAGGGTCTTTCCAAACATATTTGAAGGCAGGCCCATTTGTGAATGGAGCTGGGTTTTTTCCTGGAAAACAAAAAGAATGCTTGCAGATGCTGTTATAGATGATTCTGAAGCTCAGTTTAGCTTTAAAATCTTCTATTGCTTGTAGGTTTATGGGAACTAGGACCTATAATAATAGGGTGTGAAATGACACAGGATCCATTGTATGCCTTTCAGGAAAGTTACAATTAAAATGTGACTTTAGAACTAGAAAGATGATATCAAAGAAATTTGGTCAGCCCTTTCCATCATCAATCCTTCGAGTCATTCTTGTATTTAAAAACAAGCGCGTCCCCTGCATATGTCAAAGGAAAGACATGCTCTTAGCCAAAGTGGTTCCCTGTCTTGACCAAAATAGGCTAAAGGCAGAGACTGCGTGGAACAGCAGCAGGGTCAGGAGGAGCCCCCACCTCGCTGTTAGGAGTGCTGGACTTCACTGCCGCGGGACCAGGAAAGAAGGCAGGGTCCCCTCTGGACATCCCCCCCTCCCCCTGCTGTAAGAAATGTTAGGAGAGACCCGAGGGCAYGGGGAGAAGGAGGTTTCTTTGGGAAGGAGAACAAATTTGGGGGTCTCTTCCTTATTCCCCAAGTAGCAGAGCCAAGTTTGTTCTTTGATCTACTGGCCCCTCCTGGAGAGCTCCAGGGAGTGTCCAGAACCATCCGGGCATCCTCCTKGCCCGATAAATGAGCTGGAATCTGCCCTCTGCCAATAAGTCATGCAGTGTGAGGGAGGGGCTGGAGGTCGGGGCAGAGGCAAGTGATCTGTAGTGGCGTAGACCTGCCCTGTCTGTAGGGGCCACCTCACACCCCAGCACAAGCCTGCACACATCTGGGAGGTGCTTCTCAGCTATCCCTGTGCCAACAGGAAACGAGATTCCCTAATGCTATAGACAGAGCTTTCGGGACAGTCCAGAGGCTATATTTTAATTTCTGCGTGTGTGCATGAGTGTGCGTGTGTATTCATGTGTGTATGTATGTGTGCATGTGTGTGTTAGTCTTTGTGGCCTTTTCATCTTTTGAAGAGATGTATGGTTGGCCCAGAATATATTGTTTTCTAAGTTTTTTTTCCAATGAAGAAGAAACCATTTGRTAATTTTCATACTAATTTCTTTCTTTCTTAGTACATCGATTCAGTTAACCCAGATTTCGGTATGTGTTAGGAACGGTTCTAAGAACTTTACTAATATTAATTTGTTTATTCTTTATATCAATTCTTAAGAAAAAATTATAATACCTATTGGAAATTGAGACACAGAGAAGTTAAGAAACTTTCCCAGATCACACAGCCAATAAGGAATTGTGGCAGGGTGTTGGGCTCTGGAGCCCACCCTGTTAGTCACCATGCAGGACTGCCTCCGGTGGACCTACCTCAATGCCTGTCAGGTCTGAAGTTTGAAACATAACTGGATGTCTGCAGGAGGCTTACCTTCAGCCCAGTCCACTCTTTAGAAAAGGGAAAAGAAAAGGGAGGAGGGCATAGAGTAAGGAACTGAGAATGAGCTAGGGACTGGGCGATGGAGGATTGGACACGGCCAGCAGTGTCGGGTGGCTCACGGCTGGGCTTCTAGCAGGTGATGTTCAATCCTAGGTGCAGCCGTGGGTCACCTGCCAGGAGGTGCCAGCTCAGGCTTCCCAGGGRCAGGAAGGAGAAGCATACCCTGCGCTCTCGCTTTTCCTGATCAGCCCACACCGCGTTCCCCAAGGGCGCAGAGCAGCACAGAGGCCCAGATGTCCCCATCCCCATCTCAGGACCAGGGACCCCGAGGGCCAGAGAGAYGGTGCTGTCTAACGTCACAGTCACCCAGCCTGAAAGCAGCACAGGATTCAAACCCAGGGTCAGCTGATAGCAGACTCCATCATTTTCCATTTCCTCGTACTGCTCCATAAGTCTCCCCAGGACCCCGCAGCAGCCATGACAGATACTGAGGTGGCAGTCACAATCTGGCTCCTCTCTCTGCCTCCATGACCTGGGTATTTCCGCTTGTCCCACCCAAACCTCTGACGCTGTGCATCCATGATCTCATTTGTTTTCAGAGCACCCTTAGCAGGCAAAGGTCTCAGGACAACCATGCTGCAGGTGACTATACRATAATACGTATAATCCTAACAGGGTTCAGTTGAATAACTGAGCATTCATCATATACCATAGAAACCAAAATAGCAAGGTGGAATCTTCATTTCTGAAGTCGCCCAGCTGCCGGGTCTTGCTGGCTGAGGGAAGGCGCACTCACCAGTCAGGAAGTCGGGGTCCGGGGTGGGCTCGGAGATCTCCTCTAAGCACTGATTCTCCAAGGGGACAGTGGCCACCACAAGCCCATCTGGCAGTTGCTGGTCTATACCACGAGCGAAGTTGTTTTGCCTAGAAACAGGGTGTACATCATTTCTGAGTGTCAGGTGGACCGGCCCCGAGTGGGGCATCTTTATGTCAATACAAACGTAAAAATTCTCTTTGGACCAACAAGTTCCCCTCACCCTGAGCCTCATTTACTCTGCAAAGGGTAGGAAATATTCCTCCCTGCCTCTCATCCCAGTCCTGCCCCCTCTCAACAGGCCCTGGGCACCCTGGGTCTCATTTCTTTACCATGGTGAAGACTCCAGCCATATTTCTTGTCTTTGACAAACCGGCTCCCAGACCAAAATGGGAAACACCTGTGAAGTCCCTACACGTAACACTTCTAAGAACTAGTTTGGAAATTTCCTCTCAGTTTGTTTGTAAGAGTTTAGACCTAGATTGCTCCCTTGCTGATCCATATTACGACAATGACAGCACCATCGTCCCCATCACCACTGTCCCCATCATCTCCTGGACAGCATTTCCCTGTGGGATCTGAGGAAGAGGCATCCCCATAGCCAAGGCAGAATATGGACAGAGGTCAAACCAAGAATCTTCTCAAGATATTCCAACTAAATTATTTACAGTATTTTGTTCTCAAGATTCCTTTATGCTTGTAAAAATATTTGAAGTTCCCAAGTAGCTTTAAGAAACCTCTAATTACATCTATCACTGTTTTCTGTATGAGAAATTAAAATAGAATCCTAAAAATTAATTTGCTTAAAAACACAATAATAAGTCTATTGAATATTAATGATAAGTGGGACATTCTTGTACATTTGTTGCAAATTTCTAGAATGTCTGACTCAATAAAAGGCAACCAGTTTCTCATCATCAAATCCCATCCATGGCAACGTATCGTTTGAGTTTAAGTAGGTGAAGAATATGCAGCCTTTCTGCAGGTGGAAAAGGCAGGAGGGTCCGCAGGGGTTCAGGGACCCCAGGGGTCCTTGGCTCCCACTCTGGGGACTGCTTTTGTAGACCAACTCACATGCTGAGTCTTCTGTTCGGAGGGAAGATGGAACTTAGGGCATTTGGGGGTAGCTTTCTTATAAAACCTTGCAGCCCTCGCCTGAGCAAGGCAAAATCTCTCTTTATACTTTACTGTTCACCCAGAGGGAGCATGGTTCTTGGATTCTTGAAGAATGTCACCTTAGAGAAGCACAAAGGTGAGAGAAGGACCTGACCCCTTCCGCACCTTACATTTGCCTTGCTCCAAGATACAGAACTTTAGGTTGCATATAAAGCAATTCAGAGAAAAAGCCCCACCAACAGCCCTGAATAATCACAGAGTGTCAGGTGGACATGAGGCTCACCTGAATGTTCCTTTCAGCACCTGTCCAGTGGCCACTTCCTTGGAATGGTTATTGTAACCAAAGAACATCTCCCCAAAGAGAGTCTGGTTCATGGGAAGCTCCCTGCTCTCTCCACAGTCGCCTCCCTCTGGGCAGGTCTCCGTGATGAGCTGGCAAGAGCGTCCATCCACACCAAGCTTGTAATCCTCGATGCACCTAACATGGCGGAGAACTCAAGATAAGAAGTTAGTCCATCAATGAGCGATGCTGGCAATCAGCTCAAGGAATCCGGAGGAGAGGCCTTTGAGAGAATTGGAATGGCCAAAGATCAGGAATACCCCAATTCACTTCTGACCCCTTTGTAACGGAGTTTCTTAAGCCTGTAGATAGAGGCTCTCTCCAAAATGTGATCATACCAAATTTCCTACTTTTCCTTTAAAGTTAGGTCTCTCAGAGCTTTGGAGTGCTCTCTTTTCTAAGAGTCAGCTGATTTCGCAAACAGGTCAGGATAAGAATCATTGGAGAAAAATTTGTAAATATGAGTTAACCATTTAAATCCAAGATATGGTAGAGTTTTTCTCACAAGCCCTCTGTAGAACCAGGTTCTATATTTGTTGGGAGAGTAATTAGGCAGCAAAAGGAACAACACTGTACCTAAGAAATTAATTGCTTTCTAATCTGGTCCTGTGATGAGTCAACTCAGAAATTAGGAAGATGGGTGATCTTCTTGAATGTCTCCAAGCACAGGATCATCCCACACCAACTCCTCCTCCATCCCGAGTAGCCACCCTGAACTAAATAGACGCAGGGCATCTACACCACGCACCCTGAACTGGGAACGGCCTCCGGGTGCCCGCCCCCCATGAATGTACAGCTACTGTCATGGAAAAGCAATAGTAATTTGGTAAACATGGGTCAATGACTCATAAATCATCATTTGACCTTACTTGTAGTTATATTATAAAGAACATGCATTTGTTAGCTCAGGTGGGTGAGAACTACTTCTTTGATAAAGCTGTCAATGAAAACCATGTTGATTTCATTTGGTTCTCTCCTTAAAAATATTACAGATTTAGACTTTAAAGGTGCTCACGATGTTAAAACACCCTTTATCACTATATACAGTAATTGTTGTAATAATATAAAGACCTCTGACCTAGGTAGAACTACAAATGATCGTAGTTTCAAGTAGTGAGAAGCCATATCATAATAGCAATGAGCGTCTTCTTCACTGGTAATCTTAAACCAGTTCAGTAACCTCTCTGAGCTCCAAGACACTTGACATTCAGAACACAGCCCTATATATAGCTAGTACTCTCTGTATGTTGCTATTATTAGCAGCAAAGGTGCCAAGGAGGCCTGTGATTCAACCGCCAGTTTTTCCCATTTATCATTTACATATTTGTGTGAACAGGTGTGAGCAGAGTTCTTTAACTGTAAGTGTATGTGATCTGGTCTTTATATAAAAATATCAGTATTTGGAGAGTGCTCCACACACATGTGCCTAAATCTGATTAAGAAAGGAAAGAAACTCCACCTAGAGGCCCACCACCTTAGTCCAAGGGACAGACATGCCTGTGCCTTAAGACCCCTCCTCCAGGATTCCCTGGCTCCAGCGCAGCCTGGGAGCGGGGACATGGGAAATGGTGAATTGGCTCCTTCCTCGATTGGTACATAAACGGAGTTTCTGGGAAAGATTTTGAAGTTGGCTGGTTCCCCTCCAGCCCAYGCTCAACCTCCGCACAGCTTCCCCTCCCCCAGGACCCCTTCCCCCTCCCCCCAGTTGTGAGTCCCACTGAAGACTCTTCCAGGGAGAGAGCAGAGCTGCTCCTGATGCTTCTCACCGTGGAGCACCCTCCAGGTTCCCTGCAGAGGAGGTGCCCAAGGACGCACTTGTTAAACAAAAAGGGGAGGAACTCTGCCTGAGTTGACTTCTATAAATTGAAGTGGGTCAGCCCTAGTTATTATAAAGAACATTAAAGTTTAGAGCAACTTGCTATTTATGGAATGGGCTTTTACAAGAAACTAAATAGGGAAATTACTCAGTTGTGAAGAAATAAAATAAAACAAAATACAATAAAACAACGTTATAACTCCACTGAACAATTATTCAGCGGGCACTGCCTTCTAGAACAACTAGCGAGTTTTATTACTATAAACACCTTTCTTGTTGTTGTTACTGGGGATTGAACTCAGGGGTGCTTTACTACTGAGCCATATCCTCAGCCTTTTAAAATCTTTATTATTTTTTTAAAATTTTTTTTGAGGTACAGTCTCACTAAGTTGCTTAGAGTCTCACTAAGTTGCTGAGGCTGGTGTTGAAACTGCAGTCCTCCTGCCTCGGTCTCCCCAGTTTCTGGGATTACAGGTGGGCATCACCGCACCCAGCCTTGCTTTTCATTGCAAGCTGTTGGAGGGTAAAAACTCCATGTTACTCACTCCTCTTTGCAGCCCAGTGGCCGGCATGGTATTTGGCATAGAGTAAGCACTCTGCCTGACTTGGAGGAAGAAAGAGGGGAGAGGGAGGCAAGAAAACCATGGGTAGAGCAGAATGTGCTAATCTGTTTACTTTATAAATATAGCATGAAAATGTCTTTAAATATAATTCCACTCAGTGATATAAATTTAAGTTTTGAGAAAAATCTCAGAATTTTTTTTAAAACATCAGAGAGGGCCTGGAATCTGATCTTAATCTTCCTACTCACCAAGTCCGTCCCTGGTCTTGGGAGAGACCACCCCACGGGCCTTAGTTTTCTCATCTGTGGAATGAGCTGGCCTTGCCCGCCCTGTTCCCTCACAGAGATCTCCTGCCGGCTTAAGGAGCCAGTGGGTGAGAGGGACCCACCATAAAGGGCCTACMCGAGGAGGAACTGCGTCACCGAGGAGGGCTGGACACAAACGTGGGGCCTCGGGAATTGAATCTGGAGAAGCTTCGGCTACTCCTTTGATAATTAATCAGTTTCATGCAATCTTTCCCAAGTTTTAGATCATGGGATGCTTTTTGTCACAAAGCCTTAATTAACATAGTTCCACAAAACACACTGGAACATTCTGGCTTAATTAGGCGATGATTTAAGGGAACTGTGTAGCTAATTCGCCCTTGCAGGTAGTCGGGCTGGGCTCCCACACTTTGGGACTTGCCCAAGGATCCTCCCAACCCAGACTTTAGAGATGCTCCCTCCTGAACTGCCCGAGGGCTGGCCGTGGGTGGCAAGTCATTCACAAGGACTTTCGGGTTAGGCTCTGAAGGCCTCACACCTTGGCCAGCCTCCTGGCAGCTCCACTCACCCGCAGAACATGAGGATGTTGTACAGGGTGGGGTCGTCCGGGAAGGGCGCCATCTGCTGGAGACACAGCTGCTCACAGCCGCCATTGAAGCCATCTGAGCAGTCCACCCCGATGTGGCGGTCATAGCAGCCYGAGCTGTCCTTCATGGGGCTGAGTCCGGCTGGGCACTGGCACAATCAGAAAGCATCCACACAGGTGGGTGAGTCAGGGACGGGGTTCTCTACTGGAACATCACCACTGACACCTATTTTTAGCACTCTGCCTGGAAACTATTAACACTAGCAAGCAATCCATGACTTCTCCTCTGCGCTAGACTCCACTTAAAAGCAAATAGCCTTTTTTGACATCTTGCTTCTCTCTGGGCATAGATCATACACATTGCATTAAGGCTGCATCCTCTGAATAGGCTGGAAGGGTGCTCTATAGTAAGACAGAGTCDGGGAATGTGGTGTCCCCATTCCACACAGAAGAGTGGAATAGTCCAGAGGTTAAAAAAAAAAAAGTCTTTGAAGGCATTCCTTTGGGTGAGGGGAAGGGAGTGCTGTTGTTTGGACTCAGGTTAAGATAACTTTTTCAATGTCCAAAGCACTTTCTCAGTGTGGGTACCACCCCATAGAGTAGGAGGGAATGGGCAGAGCCAGGGCTTCCAGCCTGAAGTGGGGAGTGGCTTTCCCTGGGACCTTGGGGGGGGGGGGCTCTGCCTGCTCTCATACACCTCCCCTTCCTGCACCATGGATGCCCACTGAAAGGCAYACAAACCAGGGCCTCGGCCATAGCAACACTCAAGGGTGCTGTACTTGGTTTTGAGCCACATTCTCATGATGTGAAATAGTGACCTCCTTGTACTATTTCACCCTTAAAAAACTCCCCAAGAATGAAAGCCACCAAGAAAATCCCAGAGAAGATGCCAGACCCCAGGAAAGCCCAGGGCTGCCTCGCTCACCCACTTAATCCCCATGATGCCCTGGAGGCAAGAATTGTGACCACCCCATTGGACCTGTGAGGAAACTGAGGCACCGGGGACTTAGCTCCCCTAAGGTCACACAGCTGCTCATGACAGGGCCACTCTTGAGCCCCTGGCAGGCTTCCTAGGAGTCCTGAGGGCTGGTCAGTCTGTGACTCCACAYTGTTTACTGAACACTAAGGAGGAGCCCGCCTGTCACTGTGCTGAGGACATTTTATCTCACAACACCCTGCATTATCCCCATTTAAAGATAAGGAAACCATTAACACTGCCAGTTAATTCATGAACCCCTCCTCGCACTGGGCTCCCTTTTAAACTGATGACTCTTTTGCCATCCTGCTTCTCCTCCTGTGCAACATCTCTGCACATTTACACTAGAGCTGGCCCTTTCTAACAGGCTGGGAGGAGGGGTGACTTGCCCAGGCTCAAGCAGCTGGAGTGGGTGGGGAGCTGGGGATCTGTGCATCTTGGACTCTGGAGGTTGGGCTTTTAATGACTGTGTCATACACACACTATTAGTGACAAACACTCCACCAAAACCAAACCCAAGCAAAACTTTCAGAACTTGGTGGAACAGTGTGAAACACCTCCCTTGCTCCCTGCTAAGGCTTGCTCTTTCTCTTGGCAGCCTAGCACCTCATCTTGCTGGTCTAGAGCTGCTGCAGAGGAGCCTGGGCAAACCCATCTCTCCCCTTCCTTTCCCAGTCAAAGATCACAGCAGGATGTGCACTGTTTGCTGACACTAATTCTGCAATTTACCAAACAAATGACCCCCTGTGGGCCTGCCAGACCCCCAGCCTGGCTCTTCCCCTCTCCCCCCTTGGAGGCAGCTGGAGTGCTGGAGGGCCACAGTATTTAAAGAAGTTTCCAAGGTCTGCCCCCTGCTGTGGGAACCCAGATGTTCCTGATGATGGTAAACAAGCAAATGAGGCAGCTGGGGCTCACACCCCAGGTCCACCAGCCYCTCCACCCATCAAGTTCCTTGGCCACCCAGCTGTTAGGCCAGATGTGTCACCAGAAGGGAGCTGGCTTCAGCACTTCCTGGCTGTCCAGGCATGGACTCTGGATTCTGGCATAGAAACACAGAGTTCGAATGGAATTAAATGGGCTGTCCYGGTAGCCACCGAGTTCTGTTTTTGCTTTTTCCTTCCACTAAGCTTGCCAGAAGCCATCACGCAGAGATGAAGCCCGTCTAGCCCSTCTCCTGTTCTTCCACCTCACATGGCTCAACCTCTCACCAGCCAGCTACCTCAGCCACCAACCAGGACTCCCCATCTTCCCCACCACCTGCCTTTGTCCAGAATGCTCCATCAAGCKTGGTTTTTGACAAATACTTCACTGAATGAAACATGAGCTGGAGGCTTTGTTCCAGAATTCTGAACCTGGCAAGTTCACTTCTTGCCTGGCCTTAGTGCCTACATGACCACCTGATATTCATGGTCTCTCAGGAGATTTGGAGAGAAGTCAGTGTAARCTGCCTTGCACAAGTTGGAGATATATATATATATATATATTTTTTTTTTTCCTCATAAACAAAGCTAAAAGTAACAATCACAGCTTTCCAGAATCAAGCAATTCTTTTACCTACATCTATTATCTTCAGTCCCAACGACACAGGTGTTCTCTGTCTTCCCCATTTTACAGATGAGCCAAATTAGACTCGGGAAGACTAAGTAGCTTGTTTATGGTCCCAGTGGTGGAACATGGCAAAGCAGACTCTGGGCCAGGGTCTGTCTGACCCCAGAATTTGCATGTGTCATCTTCCATTCATCCATCCTGCTTCCCAGGTGAGATAAAGAAATAAAGCCAATGTGTCAACCCGGTAAATTAACCCTGTGGGTTTGTTGCTCCACTGTTTTAAGCAGTTCCTGGAACATATTCTCAAGTCAACCCAATATTCTTTGTCTTTCTCACTCTTGTCACAGGTGAGTGCACATGATCTCTCTCTCTCTCTCTCTCTCTCTCTCTCTCTATATATATATATATATATATACACACACACACACACACACACACACACATGTATATATGGGTGCAAATATTTTAGGGCAAAACACTATGAACTGTCCAGGGTGAGGGTGTTGAAGGCCATACAAGTTACCTGTACTGCACCTTCATAACAGACTGGGGTTACAGTTCAGAGTAAGACTTTCCAGGGGAAAAAGGGCTGAAGCAGAAGTAGAGTTTCCTTCTTAACCCTTGGAATCAGAGGACCCCCTCTGCAAGGAGTTACTCTATCAACCTTCCCATGGTATACATTTTTGTTTTTTGGGTTTTTTTTTTTTTTTTTGGTGAATCTTCCTTCTGCTGTTATCCTTACATTCGTGGTTCCCTCAGACTCTATAAATATGAAGAAGCTAAYGTCTCCAAACCAGGCCCCTCTTCCTAGAAGTCACTGCAGCCAGAGCCCAGTGGTCAGAGCAAATCCTGCCTCTAGGAGGAGCTTGGATTATCTGTTTGCAAGGACTGGCTGTTGTCTCACCCTGGCTGTGGACAGTCCCTCCACATGTTCCTTGAGAGAGAACTGTTGGTCAGGAGAGAGCCCCYAAAGTCATATATTAACCGCTCTCTGCATGGGTCATATCCAGCCGTCCCAGGGATTTTATAAACTCCAGGCTTAAGAAGAAAACTCCATTCATTATGACAACAGCCCTCCCTCTTCAAGAAGTCCTGATAAATGAGCTCATATTCCTGTGACCTCTAAAATACACAAGGTTAATCATCTTCCATGAGATGCTCACMGCTTCTTGACTTATCACTGGTCGAAGGCATGATTTGCTAATGAGATTGAAATGGTTTTCCCCATTCAACTCTTTTTCCTTGCCCTCTTTYCCCTCTTTTCCTACTGATGATTCTGGTTGATTAATCACCGAGGAGGCTGGTGGGATCTTCCTGAGCCTAAGACACACACACCTCAGCGCCAGGTYACCGAGTGGGTGCTGTTGGCGGTGACTGTGAGTGATGGCAGGGAGCCTGTTCYGGGCCCCTGGGAGGAGAGGGACTGATTCCTGCAGCACCTTACCTGGRTGTCCATCAGACACGCAGCCCCATTCCCACCCAACAGAGGCTCCCTCTTACTGGCTGGCAATCTTATTCCTTCCACAAATAGTGACGAGAAGGCCCAAGCCTTGTGGCACTTCTCCCAAGGGGAAAAGTCTGATGGAGTTCAAGGTCTATGTCAGGCTGGGACAGCTCCCGTCCCCCAGTTCTCTAGAAGCCTCTGAGGCTAACTGCTTACTGTCAGAGAGAGAGAGAGAGAGGGGGAGGGAGGGAGATGGGTAATGGCCTCCTCACATCTGTGCCCTGGGAAAGGTGAAATGATACAGTCTGTGGGCAGCCATCGTGGACAACATGTGGAGGGAAGGGCAGCAGGTCACTGGGTAATTCAAAGCTCATTAGAGCACAGTGCTGTGGCCAGGAAGGTCACATGCTCCACACACAGGACCGCGAAGACCCCCACCCCCACCCCGGGCCCCGTCAAGGACACGGCCTGCCATCAAGCACATCCCCACATCTTACAAAAAAAAGGCTTTTTTTTTTTTTTTTTTTCTTTTTTAAGTTTGGACACTTTCAGGATGAGTGAGAAGATGAGGAAGGAGCATGAGGAACACTGGCCTTGCGTTTCTCTTTTTCTTTCATTGGGGTAGCACAGGAAATCACTTTCAGACTTTCAAACCAAGTTTCCCAGTGCACCTCGATGGCAGGCTGGGTACGGCTGGAGACACCTGTCACGCTCAGTGACATAAGCCAAGCCCCCAGACCAAAGGCCAAATGATGTCTCGCATATGTGGGTGCTAATTCACAGTGGGTGTGGGGCTAGGGAAAMACAGAGTTACTTTGGATCAGATAGAGGGGATYGAAGGCAGGGGAGGGGGTATGGGGGTAGGAAGGGTGGTAGACTGATGAGACATTGTTACCCTATATATGACTATAGGGCCAACAAGAAGAAAGAGAACTTATACTCCAGTATATACGATGTATCAAAGTGCTTCTACTGCATGGTATAACGAATTAAAACAAATATTAAACAAACAACGAAGACACCCAAATGAAGATACCCATTAAAGCTGGGAGTGGGGAGTCCCATCTACCAACCTACTCCAACCCCTGCCACCCACTGCAGAGGGTCCCCCAGATTTATCTCTAGCACCGTCTCAGGAACCTGTGATCATATCACCTTTCAMGGCAAAAGGGAGCTGGCAGATGTGATTAGGTTAAGGATCTTGAAATGCGGGATTATTCTGGGCTCTCAGAAGTGGAAGAGGGAGGCAGAGTAGGGAGAGAGAGGGAGACACGTTTCAGAAGAGCAGTCGGGGAAAGGCAGTGCGGCTGACCCGAAGATGGAGTGGCAGGCCGTGAGCAAGGTGGGTGGGCTCCAGAGGGTGGACAAGGCCCGGGGGTAGGTTGCCCCCTAGATCTTCCTGCAATGAAGACAGCCCTGGTGACCCTTGATGTTAGCCCAGTGAGAGCCACAGGGGAGTCTCATCCTCAGAGTGGTAAGATGCTAAAGTTGTGTAGCTTTAAGTCACTAAAATTCTTGCGATTGTTCCAGCAGGAATATGATAATATAGCACCTTTAAAGGGCCCCCTGGGGCTCTATAGAACACAGAACTGCTGCTCTGGGCCYCMTGGGTGGGGACCCTGGCCCATCTTGAACATTAAAAACAATGGGTAAGATTTGGTCACCAGCAGTGGCAGTGAGCCAGGCTCTGGGGACCCTCCTGGAGCTTCCGAGGTCCCCAGCTCTTAGAGAGCACTCTGATTTGTAATGGAGCGATCATGGTTTATACAGACTGTGTTTTTCATGGGTATTTGGTTCCTGTCCTCAAAGGCTATATAAGCCACAGGGTGATTAACTGGGCACCCGTGAACCCTGTGGAAGCCCATGCATAACCAAAACGTGCCCCCTCTCCTGGAAAGAAGGGAAGCAGCCCCTGTACCCCAGCACGAATCCCACCTGTCCGGTCTGAAATAAGTCAAAGAAACATCCAGGTGTGCTCCTGCTCGCCTTCCCACACCTGCCCCTTCCCCAGGTTCCTGAAGAGTCAGCATCTCTCATTCCTCGTCTCTTTCTCCTTTCAAGAAAGGATAAARGATGCTTTTCCTGGGAAGCCTTTCAGAGCAGCACCCAGGACTGGACCTAAGTGTCTACGTGGACAGGGGCAAGGAGGCCAGATTTAGCTGGGGTCTAGCTCCAATGACAAGGGACTTCCTCCACTAACACACCAGGGCCTGAGGACAGTGTGATTGCCCAGTGGAGTCAGGTCAGGCTCAAGGTCAAGTCCCTCATCTTCTTCTCAGTAGGGTCATAAGCACATCAGCTCTCAGTGCATCCGTCCTGCCTCAGGGACCATCCGCACCGCAGCCAATGAGGAACCAAATGGAACACGTCCACCAATCAGCCCCGCTTCTTCCTCCGGAGCCACGTKGACTGGTGACTTCAAAGTATTATGCAAATGCCAAATACTGGTGTAATTGAGTGACTTTCTGCAGCGGCTCCAATTCTAAAATGCAGCAGCTTTATCGCGAATGCATATTCATCAGAACTATTCCTGCTAGTCCGTCTCGCAGATCAGTGGGGAAAGTGCAGAACTCCATCCGCTCAACTGTACGCCAAATGAAAGGGGCTAGGATCAGCACCAGAGGAGGGCTTACAGGCAAACACACCCCAAGGGGCCAGGGCCGAGCAAAGAAGTAGCAAGAGAGAAAAAACCCACCTGTGTATGCATGTGTGTGCCTGTGTGCGTGTGTGCATGTGTCTGTGTGCGTGTGCACGTGTGTGTGTGTGCATGTGTGTGTGTGTGTGTGTGTAGTGCATGCTTAAACACCTATGGGGGTGGTGTGGGAGGAGCCTGCATGTACCCAGAAAGCACTTAGAATGACTCCAGAGAGCAATTAGGAAGAAAGGTGGAAGTCTGGATGAAGAAAGGCAGAGTCCCATCAGACAGTGAAAACCATCTCCGAGGAATCCCACAGGTTGGAGCGCTCATTGCTTAACAGGGTGAGGACCTGCCCAGGGTGGGCTCACTGTGGGACACCAGCTCACCTCCTGGCTGCCCAGGAAGAAGACATGACCTAGCAAGCACGATTTCTGATCTTTTTCCTGATAGGCCTCTGCTCTTGGCCCTTCCTAGGTTCCCCTGCTGGCTTCTCCTCCCAGCCCACGGCTCTCTCTTTCCCTTCTCTCCATCATGCTCTCTCCTTCTCGGGGGAATCAGGGCTGGGACATGGCAACAGTCTGGGGAGCCTCAGGRCTGGGATACCTCCACCCCAGAGGCCAGGTTCATATTCGTCTTTGATAAGGAGCAGCTCCCTGAGCAGAGCAGGTGCTAGAGATGGGTGATGATGGCAGCGACTCAGGGTCCTCCCAGCTTCCCCAGCTCGGGGTCCCCTCACAGCASGGCTGCCAGGTTGGAGCGAGGCGGGGCACCAGGAAGCTCCTGGTGACGCATCTCAATGGCTGACTCTCCCTCCCCCCTGTTCCCCTTGGTGTGTCTTCCTCGCTATCGCTGTCCTGGTCCCTCTCCTCCCGGAGGTGGGGCTGGACACAGATCAGCGTGTCAATGGGTGAGAGCCACCAACAGCAAGGAACCAGCCTGCAGGGCCTCCTCTGTCCTGCCTCATCCGCCAGCACGGTCAGTACAGTCTTCATATTCATGCCCGCAGAGAGCTTGGTCTACTCCAGCCCAAACAGCCCTACCAGGGAACGGCACCCCATTTTTAAGGATAGCCAAAGTCCGCAGAGCTGAAAACAAAGCAGAACCCCGCTGTGGAGAAGTAGCACGTCACTGTTGGGGTTCYGGACATTTTTATTTATATTTTTCTCTACCATTTCTGGCATGACTTATTCATCTCGTTGCTCTACCTGTAGGTAGGTCTCTCCAGACATCTCCTGTTATATTTGGAATCGATGTTATACAAAAGCAATTAGTTCTCAAATAGTTCTCACCAACTATTTTATAAGACTGGAGAGAAGGGTGCTCTACAATTTGAGGAATTTCCCCCTGGAGAGAACACGTCGTAAGTGMTCCCTGAGGACTTCTTAAATACCGGACTAGGGCTTAGCTCCTCAGCCCTATCAAGAGAAAATTCCGAACCTGCACTAGGTGGTGGTTACCACTGGGGTCACAGCACATTGTCCTCTGTGTGTCCCTCTGCCTTGTGCTCACCCTGTGCCTTCCCTCCCCGCCCTCCAAACAGGACAGACGTACCACGCAACCAGTGGAGTCCAACTTGCGATCGGAAATGCAGCGGAAGTTCTTAYTGCAGCCCCCGTTATCTTTGCTGCAGTCTCGCACTGGCCCAAAGGAGTCTAAGAGAACTTCCAGGCTGTCAAAGGAGGATGAGGTCATCAGCTCCTCTCTGCAGGGAGAAAGAGTGGGAGTCAAGGGGCTTCTAGGAGCCACAGTGGTGCTACCTTCCATCTCCTACTGGTCAACTGGACCAAGCCTGGCTTTGCTCTTATAAAATTAAAGATCAACCACACAAGGAGGCCTGAACTCACAAATGATGGGCATTTTCCACATCTGGGAAATGAGCCAAAGCTACGCCTGGTCAAAGAAGGAAGTCTAAACTTAGGCAAGGACATTAACATTTTATKGCCTGTCAGTCCTTGGGGTATGTGGGAAGTGCTTACAAACTCTAATTTTATGTCTTCTTCCAGTGAATGAGCCTTGGGGTGTGCAATATTGACCCAGATAAAGAGCAGATCTTGGCACCGCGWGCGGGGAATTTAAAGGCATCCTGCCAACTTCTCCTTTCCGCTTGCGGTGCCTTCTTTCCCAGCACCTAGAACCTTCAGGTCACTTGTCACTCTGCCTCCCAGGCCAAGGGCGGGCCCTCCGTCCATACCCCGAAGCCAGACCCACCTGACCTCGACCGCATCCTCCATCACGGTCATGTCGGTCTTACACTTGGCGGAGGGATTGATGGCCAGTTCTGCTGGCGGGATCACAAAGCTCTTGCTCAGGGGCAGCCACATGCCCTCGCCCAGGGTGTAGGTGAATCTGCAGGGACACAGCACCAGGTGGTCAGGCTGGAGGATCACCACCCCCACGCGGGGATCCRGCACTCAGCCCCCGGCCCTCTCCAGAGAGGAGGGTGGACTGCCTTTCGTGAAAGAGACCCATGAGTCAGAGGGAGGCTGAGGGCCTGCTCCTGCTCACTTGGCCATCTGGCTGGAGGACTGATCATGGAGCCCATTCACCAGATATTCAAAGTGGCTCTCATCAAGTCACAAAACGTGAGCCTCAGCCTTCTTCAGGTTTAAAGTCAGATATAATTGGAAGCGGTTTAATTGGAGAGAGGAGGCCTCCCACCCCCCTCAGCCTGGGGCTGCACACCCACTGTGGTAGCCATGGTTTCTCCCCGTGCCTGGAGGAACCCTGACTAGGAGAAGGCAGGAGGAAAGCGCCCCTTCTCTGGATTCCGTGACAGGAACAGAGATGCCTGAAGCCAGGAGCCTCCAGGGAGGAGAAGAGAGGGGTGAGCAAATGAACCAAACAGCCCCACGTCTGTTCTCCGTCTATTCTCCGCACTCCCACCCACACCTTAGCAAACGGTGCTAACCCTGGGGAAACAGGGAAGACTTGGGTGTTTTTATTCTTATAACAAGGGCTAAAAGGAATAAAAGAATCCATCAGCATTTCAAGGGAGAGCTTAAGGAAACCATGAGAGATTATTTGTTTATTTATTTCATTCATTTCATTTCAAAGGCATTCAAATGCTCTGTGTTCACAGTCAAAAATAGTCTGTGGGATAAAAGCCAGTGTGGGTGGGACATCACGGAGCTGTGGCAGTCGTGGAAAATGGAGGAGGTGCACAATTAAGCAGAACCAGTGCCGTGCTGGTCACAGCACCCTGCAGAACCCCGCTCCTCTCTCCCTCCTACCCCCTGTGTTCTCCTCTCCACCCTGGGCTGCCTGAGATGCTAGAAAAGCAGACTGAAGCTTCAGAGCTTTTATGAAAAGTGCCGTCGCCCTCCCCAGGACGCTGGCCACAGAACAGACCCAGCATGCTCCCCAAGCCATTTCCACCCCACACCCTGACAGACAACCCTTGGCACCAGAGCTGCGAGAGGAGAAGACAGGTGACAGCGTAACTGTAGGGACTCCCAGGAGAGAGGCAAAACCTCCAGGTAAGGGGTGTGTTCAGGACTGGGGGGGTTTCTCTCCCATTTCTGCCCTGACTCCCAGTGTTCTGCTCCCCTGACCTGCTGCGAGCCATCAAAGATGYTTCTTGACCTGCAGGAGGCATGGCTCCTTCCACCCCCGGGGGCACCAGGTATTAGGTGGAGCTGAGCGTGAGCCGGAGGGGCCTGCACCAGGGGAGCTGAGCCCATTACTCGGGGGACCAAAACACCCAAGCTTCATTCTGTTGTGGATCAACTAGTGATACTGGAGACACAGCAGCCCATTTACACACACACACACACACACACACACACACACACACACACACTTCATCTGAAATATCAAGGAGCAGATTCAGGGCTAGCGATGGCCTCCAACATGCCTGGAATCTGGGACTTAAGGGTGCTGTGGGTTGAAGGAAACAGTTTCCAAGAATTCCTATGATTTCACTTCGCATTCCACAATGGGTCCTTGAGCCAGCAACATTATACTAAGGAAGTCTCTGGTCAGGACACTGCTGTATTGTAATATATTGTTCCACAGAGAACGTTTACACAAGTGAATGGTACCCGGGATGAAGCAGTTCATTGGACACAAAGATGGGTATTTGTTTTCTATTTTGGCTTTGAAATTATAATTTTGTTTTGATTATGTAAGATTTTGGGAAACTGTTGGCAGTTCTAGTACATTTCTGATGGTTCATTTTTCTTTTGGAAGAAGGGAGTCTATAGATTCTCATCTCTCGTTTCCCTTTTCCTTTGCATATAGTCATAGGGAGAAACAAACCATGGTTTTCCCCAAAGCCAACTGTGCAATGGCACCCCACACACAGGGGGCAAAGTCCAAGCCCCCAAAGGTATCACGTCACCCCACCTACATCTTTAGCTCCTCTCTGCAAAACCACTTCACTCTGCTCCTGCAGTGCCCACGGTGCTTCCTCAAGGCATCCTAATATCTCATCTCTTTTCTTTTGTTCCTAACATTCTTTCTTCTGGATTTTATTCCCTTTTTTCTTCTCCTGAATTTGATTCGTCTTAAGACTGAGTTTAAAGTCACAACCCTTCCAGAAATTCCCCCAGAACCTTGACCCTCAACCTTAGGCTGAGCAAGGGAGTGTCCTCTGTCCACCTTACACAGAGTCCTTGCTGCCCCTGAGATGCTGGACTRCACCTGTCTTTTCCTGTGTCCATCACTGTTAATCAGGATGACTCCCCAGGATGGCAGAGAACAGCCCCAGCAAAACGCCCTGTTTAGCTTCCTGACAGCCCTGTCAGTTTGACCYCTCTTACCAATTCATCATCTGATATTCTAACAATGTTAGTAGCTCCCCAAGGTCACCCCTTGGTCAGTGGGAAAGATGGGGATGGTCCAGTTCTTCGGTATGGTCACAGTAGCTTTCCAGCTCATGCTGGCTCATGCCTAAGAGATTCTAGAGCTTTCTTTCATCTGCAAAATCTACTGAGTAACTCCAAACGCCAAATATAGAATATGCTGTCAGAGAAAAGCTGTGTCCTGAAATTTCATCTGTCCCCCATTCATGAAGATTTGGCAGGAATGACTCCCCAAACCACCAAACAGAAGGTAGGTGGGCAATTCCAGCACTCTCCCAAGTTGGGCCTTCTCTGGGGWCAGCTGGTGAAGACCACTGTAGTGATGGCTCAGCTGCACGCTGCATGGTCTGTTGAGCAGAGCCTGAGATTTCTGTTCAGAGGCAAACATTMACCAGAGAGCACTGGGTTGAATCAGCCTGTGCTCTCTCCATGGCTTGGCATGGAACAGAATGTGGGAAAACAGAATTAAAAAAAAACATAATAAAAAACAGATAAATAGCTTCAACCTGACATCTTCACTCTTTCCCAGAGCAGGCTGTTTCAAAATGAGATATTGTTCCCAGGGATGCAGGTACACTGGGGAAGAAGGCCTCTGAGAGATGAATTTGATTCACCACCACAGAGTCTATGGGAATGGGGTGAGGGTGCCATATTGRATGGGTTTGATGGGAGGATTCAGCTGCAGGGCTGGGGGTCCTTGTGGACCCTCCCAGTCTAGTTTGGAGTTGCAGTTTGGAGTTATCTGGGATGACAGATTTCCAAGGTTGGGTTGGGCATCAGATTTCCTAATCTGATTTCAAGTCCTTGGGAAATGCCTGAAATGCCAACTGTAAATAGCTACTGAAGGCAGGCTATTCAAAATTATGTGTTAGATTTTAAACCCTAAGAGCCCTTGAGGGTGCCACCCCTTTGCTCAAGAAGATAACCACCTCATTGGGAAACAAATAGGCAAATTAAAAATAAATCTGAAATAGAGTAATTGACAAGTAAATATCAAAGTCATAGAAATTTGGAGGGGTACAAGTTGTGAATTGTGCCATGGACGTGGATTGCAGGAGTGTGGAGCAGTATGTCTTAATCCTGGCTATGGACTAGAATCCCCGCAGTGCTTTTAAAAAGCATTCATTCCCAGCCTCAGCCACACCTCTCTGAACTTTTTAATTAACTGGATTGTGCTGGGTACAGTCATTGGTCCTTTTAAAGCAGACAGGAGGATAGTCTCACAGGACTAGAGGTAGAGACCGCTTCCTGGATGAGACTGTAAACTCATTTTTTCCCTTATTAATACCCAGGGACATTTTACCACCGAGCTACTACATTGCCTTGTCCTTTTTATTTATTTATTTGAGACAGGACCTTGCTAGGTTGCTGAAATCTTTGTAAGTAACTGAAGCTGGCCTTGAATTTGCTCTCCTTCTACCTGGGATTGCAGGCCTGCTCCACGGTGCTGGCTAAACTATAAAGTCTTGAAAGCAGGGCCTTTCTTGGTCATATCTACAGCATCTGGAACAGGATTTTGCACAAGTAGGGGTTAAGAAATGACTGGTTAGAGAGTTTGTCTACACCATGAAAAGGGTAATGTTAATATTAGGAGGACAAGATGCCTTCTTATTAAAGGAGAGTGTATGAGAAAATGTGCAGAAGAGGTGATATTCAAGTTATTGGGGGCAGTGGATCAGGTAGCAGACAGATTTGATTAGGAACAGAAGGTTCCAAATGAGAAGAGCAGCTTAATTAAAAAGAGTTTGACATTGACACTCAGTGATGGAAAGATTTGAATATCAGAGCTTCAGTTTTACTCAATGGTTCAGAGACATGTGCACTGGCTTGGAATTCAGCAGGACACTAAGACATGAGTGAGCAGGCCAGCAGGCAAGTAGCCCACTACAGACACTGACCAGGTCAGAGACCCCTCCAGAGTAGCCATTGGTAGGTGGTTGACTCAGATTCCAGAGAAGTTTTGAATAAAGGTTCTAAGTCCTAAAATAAGCACACTACGACATATGATTTCCATTTGAGAGACTAGTTATTGTCATATTAGGGACGAAAACTAGTAATCACTTATTGCTGAACCCTGTGGATCCTGATTTGGTTGACCTCATGGATTACACTACATAACTGCCCGCCTTCGGGTACTTAGGTATCCCATCCAGCTGGYAGCCGAGTGTGCAAACCTAAACAGTGTTTGTGGGGATGGAAACACAGCTTTGGGCAAGTTCTGCCCTAATAGCAATTTCATTAAAAGCCCTCTTTAGAACCAGCTTTCAGGGAACAGGGAACCTGAGCATGTTAATCAGCAAAACTCCACCTGCTTCCGCGTTGCCTTACGTGACTGCCCTTTGAAGGCCTTGGAAGACTAGCGGTAGGAAAAAGGAAGGGAAAAGTCACAAATGGTAAATCATTGTTGGAAAGTTTAAATGACCAAGTCACAGTCCGAGGACTGTGACATCTCAGCTGACATCTCTTAGAGCACAAATACTCAAAAGCAGCCTGTAGCCAATGTCATTACATGACCCCAGCTGCCCTGGGAAAGACCCTCAGGAGAGCAAAGGGCAAGGAGAGGCCCTCTGAGGACGTAGTTCTGGAAATCCACACGTAGCCAAGAGCATGCTGAAGGAGAACCCTGCCCGGGTCAAGCCTGCCGATCCCGGTCTGAATTCCAGAGGCCAGCAAAGGAGCAAAGATGAACACCTATGTCAGGAATAGCCCACAGGGAGGGTCTGGGGAAGGACTCAAAGAGGTGGTAGTGCATGAGCCTCGGCAAACCTCAGGGGAAGGAAGGAAGGAAGGAAGGAAGGAAGGAAGGAAGGAAGGAAGGAAGGAAGGAAGGAAGGAAGGAAGGCTTGATTTGCCCCATCCCATGCGGATCACCATTTCTCCAACAACGCATGCGGAGGTGGAATTCACCCTCTGACATCAGCCACTAGTGCAGGACTGTTCCTTTTGTCTACTAGCAGGGTGGCTCATGGAAGGGGCTCTATTCCTGTCCACACTGTCAGGCCAAGTTCAATCTCTGGCTCTTAGCAAATGTACGTTAAGTGAAGGAACAGACTGACATGTCCTAAGTCTAAGATCTGAGACTGGGACATGAGCTTGTATTCCAGATAAGGCCTGCTGTGAATTCAGCTTTATGGAAATCCAATAGTTCACGGCTGGCACCCAAATTCTCCCTGGGCTGGTGGGCCTTTCTAATATGTGCTATTCACAGATATGCTGGTAGAGATTTGGGAGGGACTAGAAGCATCAACTCTGATCAGGAGGGCAATAGATAAAAGAAAATAATGATGAGGTAGAGTTTAGAAAAGGGGAGGCAGGGGCGGGAGCGATTAATTCTGAATAATCTAAGTCTCTATGAGGAAGGTGCAAATTAGATGCGGAACAGAGAGGCAGAAACTGACATTAATTGCCCGTTCTATGCCAGTTTCTGTGCCAGAGACCTTCCCTGCATTATCTCGTCTATCCCTCACAATAATCTCGCCAGACGTGTAACAAAGCCCCACTTAACAAGCGCAGGAACTGGAGGTTCCAAGAGGTTAAGTAAATTATTGAGGTTCGCAGAGCTGGTGAGAAAAGAAACCAGGCCTCAAACAGAATCCGACTTCTAAGTGGTCCTTGCTGTCACTGCGCATGCTTGGGCATGTATTTGTATTTCTTGGGCAAGTGCTTGTATTTCTAGGTGGGCAGAACAACTCTAGTTGTTTCCCATTTTATWGTTTTACTGCTAGGAAAGGGAGTTCGGAGGGAAGTGGGACACGGGGCCATCAACCCTGGACAATCAACCACTTACCTGAATATTTTATCAGAGGGCTGCTCTCCCAAAACCAGGTCAAAGCCTCGCTGAAATATTGTGTAAGGCCAAGGCCTAAAAGGAGAAACATTATTCAATTAAAATCCACTCAACGAACACTCCCTTYATGCCAGGCACCATGCTGGATGGTAAAGACCCAAAGATGAAGAAGACACAGTCCCCACCCTCAGGATACTTACAAAGGTGAGCCTGCGTGACCTGGAATCCTAGAATCTGACCAGGAACACGCTCAATGTAAAAATCTCTGAGCCGTTAGGAGAGCAGAATGTAATAGCATGACCACTGGAACTGTGCACAGAAGAAACTGTGCACAGAGGAAATACTAATCGGGAGCTCACCCAGCCATATTGATGGTCCTTCAGATGGACATTTGCATAAACCTAGTTCTGTTCTGCTTAAGAAGGGATGTGAGGTTTTTTGAGGGAGACCTTTGGGACCGGGCAGTTCTGGATTCAAACCCTGTTTTGCCGTGGACATTTTGATGTCACTCCTTCAAACAAACAACTGAAATAGTATTTTAAAATAATTATTAAATAACTATCAGCCTTCCTAGGTATTACCACATGTGCTAGAAAGTGGAAAAGTAGCTATCTGGTTACTAGCTCAGATATCTAAACCCAAAATTATTTGCTCATTCAAACAAGACCAAGTGAAGCCCAGAACTTGTGTTGAGTACTGAGCTACTGCGCATACTGCAGGGCCTTRGTCCTCAGAGTCCTGAAACTCACAGTCTTAAAACTAATCCAATCATTGAGGATTTTACTGTAGAAATTCCTTCATTTTCCAAGATTACAAAGTCAGGAGAAGAAGGTACAGTCATTATTTGGGGCTAAATCTATTAACCTGGGTATCACCCAGTCGAGGGCATTTGGGGAAATGTATGGGGATGTTCTCGGATGACACCATGACAGRTGGGCATTTCTTACATTTGGAAGGAAGGGCTAGGATGGCTCAGGAGAGCTCTGGAAAATTTCCCACATCCTACAAGCTTTCAAACTCCATTATAGTCATTTCCTTAAGTATTGAAAACCTGCTTATAATGACCGGAGCCTAGATAACTCCATTTACATATAAACACAAAATAGTTGGCAGAGTTTTAAAGGTGAAGAAGATGAATTTTCAGGTAAATAACTACTATGTAAATGGAAGATTATGCATTGTGTAATCACTGGGGTCCTCTCACAATGCAGCCACATTAGTCTCGGTTGCTCTTGTACATATCATGTTCTGAAGTATATGTTACATTTTGGCGATTTTGTATTAGGTGCAAATGGCTTCCAACTTTATTATTTCTTCTACTGCAACAGAGTGTTTACGAATTAAAATAGTTATTATATCATTATAAATTACTTTCTTTGGGGGGGCCCAGTGCTGGGGATGGAACTGAGAGCCTCGCACCTGCTAAGCAAGCGCTGTATCACTGAGCTAYGTTCCCAGCTCTGTAAATTACCTTATTATTTCTCCTCCTTTAATCACTGTTAAGCATATTTATTTGTTGAAATTTTGTGCATATGGATTTTATTATTTATGAATTTCATTTAAGAATGATAAGAGATTAAAAATATTTGCTGAAAAATAGTATTGGGTCCAATAGGGTTCAGAACCATTAACTTAAACCATCAACCAGCCAACTAGTCACCTCCTCCTGGGAGTCAATAGTCATAAGGGGAGGCCATTGGAGCAATATAAAGGAGCAGCTAGGATGAATGGGTTCACTTTAATGTCTACTATTTATAAATACTTTATTCCTGAGATTTGATCTAGAGATACCCCAAGACTCCAAAATGTTCCCAAATGCTACTCTGAATAACCCTTGCACGGAAGAATCAGTGCCCCCACAGATGCTCTTTATGTTAGTTCTGTTTACTGGAGGTGAATCCACAGAGTAGGGTTTGCATCTGATTCTGTTCTGCTTAATAGTAAGTGATAGCTTATGGGCAAATAAAAATAGGCATTAATTTAATCCATATGCTTTCAGACATCTAGAAAGGACGATAAAAAGAGAAAAGGGACATGCAACTTTGTCTCCTCTTTTTTTGGAGAGAATCACATTTATTTACTCTAAGTCGAATACTTTTAAATAACACACATTTTGCCTTCAAGTCATCTCTAATATTCAAAACTGGTACGATGTGTAATTAGAGTGAATTCTTGGCACAGATTCTATGTGGTTTGGAAATATATTTTGAGAAGACAAATCTTAGGACTGGCGTTGATTACAATGTGAATAATTAACTGCACTGAATGATACAAATAAATGTGCATCCAGGACCTAGTTAATGAATAATGAGCTTGGAGACATTTATTATGCACACATCCACATGTTGCTTATAAAGGTCAAAGAGACCTACACTTGATGCTCTGGAAAACAGTCAACTCATGCTGGGGAGGGCACAGATATGCAGCATGGACCCCRTCCTGATCCCAGATAGAGGGGGCAAGGCCTAGTGCTTAGGGCAGGAGCTGTGGAAGGAGCCTGCCCATTAGGAAGTCCAGCTCAACCACCAATCCCTGTGCCAACTTGCTCAAATTCCCCAATTGTTCTGAGTCCCTACATCTTCACCTATCGAATGAGGCTGATGGTAACAACCATGTTTACCTGGCAAGGTGGTTAAAAGGAGGAACTAGTTAATATAGTTAAGATGCTCAGAACAGTACCTGGTGTTTCATCAATGCCGTCAAAGCATTTATTAAGTTAAATTTATGAATTAYTTGAATCAAATATAAATCTTATGTAAGGAGTGATTCCTGTTTTTCCTTAGAGGAAGAAGTACCTGGCCCTAAGGTGCAAATACGATGCCAACAGAAGGCTTTAGCTGAAGAGGAGACCAGGGTGCTCCCCCACCTGCTGCCCAGTGATCACGTCATAGGKCAGCTACCTATGCAATGTTGACACTAAAGTAAAGACAAGGGGGAGAACGTACTGTGAAATGGTGAGAGAAATTAGTTGTATTTGCATTGGCAAGAAAATAAAGGGGAACTTACTTATTTTCTTCCTTTAGTCAGGGATGATCTGCCAGAGAGACAGAAACTCATACTTGTTTAGCAGTAGTTAGGGAGGACTGTGTGTGAACTGTGATACCAGACAACAGGAATTGGATCAAAGAGAATCTTGCCCTCAAAGGAATCTACAGTGTTTCTGAAGAAATACCCGGGTTCAGACAAAAAGAAGAGAATGTTAAAGAGAAGGGGAGTGGAGTCCCAGACCGCGAGCTGAGCCGTGTTGGTGGGTGGTGGATCAACCCTCCCGGGTGCATRGAACATGTGGGGTGGGGGAGGTTGGCTCACTGGAGAGGCCACAGGGAACAGGAAAAGCCGRTTACCTGGGACCAACTGAAAGAGGTTTCTGTGATTTCTATATGAGGGTTCTTTGAGTTTTAAAGTAAGAAAACCAAAGTGGCTTCACCAGATAGAGGCCCCTCACCACGTCATATATCCAGGCTTAGAGGGAAGTTGTCTCTGGGAGGTGGGAAGCCAGGTCATTGTTCCTCTCCCTTCTTGGCTCTGTCACTACACTGGGGCCTTACTCTTCCACATGGCTAATGAACGTGGAGGACGGCCTCCAGCAGCTCTGGCTCCTGTCTTCTCAGGCTCAGACCTCAGGGGAGACCACCCTCCTAACAACTGCTTGGCGTTTCCTGGGTCTGACCAGCACCGGGAGCAGTCTCTGGGCCGGGGAAGCAGACGCATCTCAGCACATGACAGCTCCCATTTGGTTCTGAAGTGGAGCGAGGGGAAGGGTAAGAGCAGACGAAGCCCTTTCCACCTGGCTTCTCTGGATCTGCTCGTGGAGGAAAGCAGAAGCAGGGGCGCCACTGAGGGGACAGTGTCAATCAGGTGCTCAGCCATGGAGGAGCCCCCCGGCGGGGTCTGGCCAGAGGTGGGGCAGGAGGTTGAACCTCTGTCTCTTGTCTCCCCTTGGACATGTGGCCTCTGACATTCTCYGCCCTGCACTTGGCAATGCACTCACAAGTGAGTCTGGGGAAATCAGCAGGACCAGAAGTCATTTGGTTGGTGGTGGAGACTTTCATTCTGACCAATTGAGACCTTGAAGATGGTCCTCCAAGGCCAACTACAGATGCCCTCCATGCACAGGAACCATCTCAGACCCATTGCCTCAAGCAGGGTCATAACGTGTAGCTCAGAGGAGCCCCACTGGAGCGGTTCAGCAGCCAGCAGGGCGCACACACAACTGTGGATGCCGAGAAATAAGGTTCATCTCTTGTCATTTCTTTTCTCTTCTTGTCTCAGAAAATACCCACCATGTGTTCAGTCTACTCTAATCACTGACAATTTGCAAGCATCCCGTTTCTTTCCCCAGCTCTCCTCTCCCTGAGGATGCATCAGAGTTGCAGAGATTCTGCCTTAGTCCTGAGGGTGTGCTGGGCCACACGTTAACCTTGGCCTTGACCTGCTGCTTGGCCTTCCTCCTGGTTGCTGGGGCATTTCTTCCACTATGAAACCTAGAGCCAACTGAGTGAGCAAAAGCCCTACAAGATCACCCTGCCACGCCTGGGCTCGGACAATCCCTTCATAAAGGTTCCCTCAGGGCAAAATGGACTAACCCATTTGCCCCCCTAASTGAGCACAGAAAACCCTGCTCAGAGGTTTCTGGCCAGCATGCCAGCTGATGGACTTCTTGGTGGAAGACATCACCTGGGAGGTAAGAGGAGCCATCCAGATGAGAGGTAGGTAGGTAGATAGGTACCTAGAAAATAGATGGGAGGGGTAGAGACCACAAGAATGTACATGTGCATGTGTGTTTCCATGTATTATGTATGTGTGTGTGTCGGGGAGGGGGGTTGAATCCTCTTTGATGCAGAGGGAATGTCTCAGCTGGAGGCAATGATGAACCATATGTTTCATGATGAGCTTTTTAGAAACTAGGAATTTTTTTCTGAACTTATATATTCCTCCACCTATCACCACCAGGAGCACTTCACAAATTAAAATAATWTTTTTTCCTAGTGAAATAACAAAGCATCCTTTCAAGCCTGCTGGTGGCCTACATTAGGCTAAGTTTCTGGGAGAAGCCTTCCAGAATTTCTGCCCAG